TAACTTTAGCACTGCGTACGACGGCACAACCTTTAGCCATGATTACTTTGACTCTACCAATAATCTAATCCAAGGCTCGCACTAGCGGTGGCCCGGTGGCCCGGGGCCACAAGAACTTGATGTCGGCGCCACCAAAATTCAAAAAAGTTAAAATTTGGTGCCGGCGATGGCACTAAGATTTCAAAAGTGTCTATGTGATAAAATAATTTTCTTAAAGTGTAATATCATTCAAAAGAGAGCGACGCAATTCGCGGAGCGAGCGTGATCAATGAACACAGAATCAGCAGACAACCGCGCCGGTGTCGGAATTTGCGCACTACACGTGTACTGCACTGTATGTATATGTAGTGAGATGCAGTACGTCGCACGTGAGCCACCAGCAGAACGCGGCTGGAAACAACCCCGATCGCGTCACTGGCGCCGCATCATAGATTACTGGCATAACGATTACAAATTATCCGTCCACTTGGTCTTGGAGTTTTATAAGTTTTTTTCATTTGAAACTTCTTCTGAATTGGCCTTATGAGTTATTGATAGAGTAGCCTTTCTGTAGGCTATAAATTATGACATTATGTAGAGTATACATATATGCTGGAATATCGAAATATTTAAGCTATTCTGTATTTGTTTTGCTTTGGCATTCACGTGTGAGATAAAAATACCCCAGGTCTCGTGAATAAAAACAAAGGTCCAAGATTACACAGTGCGCCGCGCACACACACGCACCACAGTGGCCACTCACAACGCCACACGCAGCACACACGCAGCACAGCAGCACTCACACGTACACGGCAGCGTCGCACCCACAGTGACACACAAACAAGGCCGGCGCGCCGAACACGCCGCACGCAACGCACCGCACACGCACACAGTGACACTGCCACACGCAACGTCACACACAGTGAACACAGCTCAGCACGCACACGACTCGCACACACAGTAACACACCAAACACGCACGCGGTGCACACGCACGCACGCACGCACGACACCACACGCACACCGTGACACACTCAGGACACGCAGCATGCCACACGCAGCATGACTCGCACACACAGTGACACACTCACAGCGCCACACGCCTGCGCAGTACGCCCCACAAGGACACACAGAACACCGCACGGCCGCACACGCCACGGCACACGCACACGGCAAACGCGTGACCACTCGTACGCAGACGCGCACACCACATACACCACCAGGCAAACGTACCACAGTGACACATCACAGCGAACGACACGTGACACACAAATCACGCCCACCTCGCCACACAGTGACCACCCTCAACACGGCACACGCACGCGCACGACACGCCACACAAACACGCACGCTCGGACAGCGCACGCACCGCACGCACACCCAGACGCACGCACACGCACACACAGTGAAACACTCACACCGCACACACGCACACTACAGTCCACCCCACGCAGTTTATAAAATAGTTAGCTATCGCTGTCATGGAAAGATGATCAGAACAAATAGTGGGAGAATTTCGACGAAACCTCCAGTGCGTACCATTTACATTTACTCATTTTACTCATTTCATTTAAGTTGGCAGTCAGCCACTTATGACTTATCACGCCTCTCTGGACTCTTATCGTCATTTTGCAGCTCAAAAAATATCTTTTCTCATCTGTGCAAGATATATGATCTGTGACAACCTACTAACCTACACAAGTTTTCGGCATATATACAAGAAACCTTAAATATGCTTCTAGGTTTGCAAATCAAGGTATTGCGTGTGTAGCTCACGAGACAGGCTTGTTGTTTTCGCGGCAGCAGCTGGTTGGCTAGTTACAGAAAGTCCCGGATGTGGCAAAGTCTCCGCGTAATGTCGCCCTAAACCTACTTGCTAGCTAGCTGCGGTCTGGACCTCTAGGCTGTGGTGCGCGCGAGTGCAGCGGTTTGCGGATCCCGAGCGAACTGCAAGCGTTCGAAAGATTTCGTGTGCGAAAGTATACGACGTGCAGTGGTTACATATTTTGGAACAGTCCATTTTCATAAGGGGGTAATTTTGTGGCACATAAAAAAATTCTTTTTATCGATTTTTTTGAGAAAATTTATTTTATTTGTTATTTTACTGCCTTGTGAACTAGAGCGATTTAAAGGTAATTTTAGGTCTTAAACCAATTTAATGATATTAGCTTACGCCGTACATCACCCCCCCCCATCATCCCCCTTTCCATCAGCCCCATAATAATAGTTTTTTTTTATCGGCAGCCAGGTTTCCGATTTCGGCCACCAAAATTGAAAATCAATTATTTTGGTGGCCGAACGGGCCACTGAAAAAAAAGTTAGTTGGTCGAGCTTGTCTAATCTCTGCACTCAGCCTGCTATTTGAGGACTGACTCTTCTGTTTGAACCAAAAGAACCAATCGCTGTTTTTGCCCACGAACGTCGTTCACACCGCATCTGTAGGAACAACATTAACAAAGACAAGCATAGTTTGCGTGCATCGCTATAACGAGGCTGGCGAGCTGCTAGCATTTTAGCATACAGCATCACAACCCAAAAAACGCTCTGAAGAATAACAAAAACCGCGCCTAAACCAGTCTTTAATACAAATGATATGGTAATAAACACGAAATGTATTTACTAGACAAAATCTTTAATGGTTTCATCTACTCTCATTCTGCGGGCCTAATTCTTTCGCCGATATCGCCTTGTATAATGCCGTCAAATGCTCTCGCTGGCAACAGCACGTACCGCACGCACGCCCTGTGGCAAAAACAACAAGAACAGAGAATGAAAAAACATAAAAGAACCTCTTTATTCTGTTGTTTGTGCACAGGGCGTCGCCGTGGCGGTGTACTTGTGTGTGTGCAGAGAGAACCTAGAGCATCGGAGAGCACAGACCTCGCCGCAAGGAGGTGGAATTCTGCTCAATGCTGAATTTTTTATTATTAATTAATTAAAGTGGAGAATTAATTAATTATTAATTAGATTAAATAATTAATTCGATCGCGGAGTTAGGTGCCGCAGCGTGGGCAGGTGGGGAGGCACTGTGGTCTGCCTCCTTAGCCTGTGGTTGCGTGTTTTGTAAGTCTAAGCAGCCAGCGCAGGCGCTAAGGCGGGAAGTGAACTGCAAACGTGCATGGGTAACACACACAAAGCCAACACTCAAAAACTCGCCGGTGAAAACATAACCCCCGCCACGCCCCTGGAGGAGGCAATAAGAGAGTGTATTGCAGATGTGTGTTGAATACTTACAAGTGTGTTGGAGATGAGCATTTGAACGGCATTTATAGCAAGTTCTCGACAATAATAGGCAAAATAGAGCAGAGAAACATTAGGACTTTGGTAGTAAATACATTTAGTGTTTATTTACCGTGTAGCGACCTAATGTAATATCGTCTTAGTAACAGTATACGTGTATGTACATTATCATATGGAGTAGAAACCTCGCTCTGTCCATCGTGGAATTTGTTGATGGTAATGGAGTGTTGCAGTGCTTACCGATCCGGTGTGTTTTTAATCGATTCCACTCAACCCATTGGTGGTCAAGCAACAAGCTATAGCTACTATAGCTTTTAGCTAGTACTAACTTCCATATATATATATATATATATATAGATCATAATTACATACCGTATTTCCTCGTGTGTAAGTCACCATTTTTTATACACAACTTCAATGAAAAAAGCCTAGGGGTGCGACTGATACACTAGGCTAAGAAATCTTGTGCAAGAAATGTCATCGTTATCGCAACCAGCCACTATTATAAATGCCAAACCGCACGCACATATTGCATATTGGCGCAGCCATCTTGAATAAATTATCGTACTTTTCAATGTATGAAAACTAAGCCCAGAGAATTAAGTTATTCTAGGTTTGGTCTTTTGAGCTTGCCGACTGGTTTCTTAATTATTATTAAAGGAATACTTTACTCTAGAATTTGAGAGTATATTATGATAGTAGATTTATAAATAATAGCACATACCTATAAATATCTATAATTATGCATTCACGTTTGTCATAAAACAACATAATCATTGAATTTCGAAATCTTCATTTTTGGGCGCTGACATGACACCCGCGACCGTGCTGCCACCCTAAAAAAGTTGCGCATTTGACAATTTATGTTGCACGTTACAGACCAGGGGCTAATCACAAAAGTGCAATTATATTTATACCTAAATGCTATTTAACCGAACGATATTCATTTTAGGGCAAAGTTATCCATATTATAACTGAAACTATATATGTCGTTTATAAGATATTACAATCCTTCTGCTCTTAAATTAATAAATAAGAAACACCCTCGGTCTGTAGCCTGCAGCCGAAACGTTGCTTTGCGCAACTTTTCAGTGGGTGCGCTGCCAGTGGCGCCACCGTCGTTGTAAGCAACGGTATAGCCGTCAGTTGTAAAACATTTTTTTTAAATATTTCTAATAAATATTGAACAATAAAACTTTTTATGAAGCGTAATTTTAACCTAAATCAACTGAAAATAACCCTAGAACCTAGAGTCAAGTATTCCTTTAATAATATTAATTGATCACTTGGTGGTAACTGCTTATTTACTCAGAGGACAATGAAGTGTACAATCACTGTGTATCAAGTTTGCTGACTGCTATGATAACGTTCAGTATTGAACTGCTCCTTGTTTACTTAATTTTGATTATAAAAGTTTTGTACTAACTTTTCAAGGCAAAATATGGGGTGCGTCTTATACACGAGTAAATATGGTACATTAAAATAGTGTATTATAAAGCCTCTAGAGGGTGAGTGTTAGATTATTGTCTGTGATGTTGTTACAGGACAGGAGACCAGACCCAGGACAGGACAAGATCATGAAGATGCCCAGGACAAGAGAGAACAGGAGAGGAGCATCAACTACCATTCATTTAGAAGCTTGTATATTTTGCATGCAGTCCCATGATTCATCAGCAACTCTGGCACCTCAGGCACCCCTGAACCTGTCATCTGATTTCATGATATAGATAGAAGAACACGATATATATGAAAAGTCTATACAGGATATATTATCGTAAGAAATGTTGCAAACTACTAAAACCGAGGCACAAGAGTAGAATATCTTCATAAGGAGCTGCAGTTGTTGCTGCCATGGTTTCTCTATAAACATTGTAAAGGCCCTTTCTGAGTACACTGTACATTAAATTGTGGCGTGCGACGACTGAACATCTTGGTTCCACGCCGGATTTATGAAGATGGCATCGGCTGTTATCCTGCTTTCATCCCATCAGATGTGTCAAGGATCTGGTGTGGCTGAAGGATACCTAACTTTGCCATTCAACATCAGTGTTTTCACCTTTCCCAATCTCCGTTGGATCAGTCAGGACTCATCACCTGATACGTCCCATATCACCATTGGTCAGGAAGACTCGTGTGTTGGGTGGACAGGTATGGAGCAAGGTAAGTGTGTGATTGCAGCATAACTGTCCACATGTCATCTTGTCAGTGACATGGGGACACAGCTCGAATTCGTAGCTCATACAATGGCTACAAATCGGATACATGTATAGAGCATCGAATTCGTAGCTCATACAATGGCTACAAATCGGATACATGTATAGAGCATCGAATTCGTAGCTTATACAATGGCGACAAATTTGATACGTACACAATGGCAATCACTATAACAACCATAGTATGGGCCAAGATGCTTGGTATTGTGAATTGACTTTGTATATATATATACATTCAGCACAACGCAACACACATAATTATAATATGTCATCTCATAATCTTAATGGGCTTGGTGTATTTTTGTGCCTCTTTTTATGTGGAATGCCTCAGTGAAAATGTGCATTTCAGTTTGCTCACACTTTTGTGCTACCGTACGTAACCCTTGGGGACTATTCATATATATGTATTCTAGTGCGATTTTAGTGATGATTTCCATGCAGGATCTTGTAGAGTCGACAGCGTAGACTTGTAGCAAACAGTAGAGATGACGTAGTCGCAGATTAGTTATGAACTCTGACTTTATTAGTACTCCGTCGAACACACAAATATACATATATACTACGGCAACCTAGGTAACTATGCCTGGGTCCTGCGTCTCGTCTTCCGTTCTCTACATAGTAACTGTCTAATATTCTAATATCTCTATTCTCTAGTATATATCATATGTTGCTCTCTGTCCGAACGAGTCTACTTATACTCATTCTGAAACGGTCTGAACGCCCTACAATCCAACCAGTTCGCCAATCACCCGCTGGTTTTAGGTGGTTTGGGTGCGCGGTGGGCTACGAAGTCTTATTTTATTACAATAATAAAATAAGAAGCGTAATTAGCCGCACGCCTCGTCGGGCTAGAAGCACCCCTGGTTAATTAGCACGCAGCCCTACAACACAACAATCCTTCATTCTCTCTTGAAAGGATTTGTGTCCTCACGAAAAATACAGTTAGGGTTAGGGAGAGTTAGAGTTACTCAGTTAGTATAACTAGAAAGCGTTAGTCCAAGGTTGCAAACATCAACCAGTGCAGGGTGCAAAATTAACGGGAGTCCAGAGTCAAATACTCCCAGATTTACTGTCGGACTCCCTGATTTGACGTATGCAGGAGTCCGTGTGACTCCCTGAAAATTCTGCCATACTAACTAGTTCGTTCCAGAGTACGGCCTCGTGGAAATACCGTATTTTTTCAGCTAATATCCAAAGAAAATTTGACAGACGTGTAACCGCATGATAAGCACATGCGTTATTGTTTTAAACTATCTTTAATTTTGGACCTCAGACTGCGGACTCCCTGTTTTTGAGGGTAGGGAGTCATTCGGACTCCCGTGTTCAAAAGTTAATTTCTCCCCGGGCTGCAGTGCCGTAATATATGTTAGTAGGTGTGCACTATGGTGTAATTTTACAAGCCGACACCGACCGCGTTTACGTGGCGTGTGATGGTGATACTGATGCTGCTGCCCATAGTAACTGTCCAAGCACTCTAGCTTATATCTGAACACTTGAAAAACTTATGTTAACTGTGACATGACTGCAATGTAATGTAACTGTAATTAAAAGTACAACTTCAAATATTATTACAACTATGTTACTATAGCTGTAACTATAACTACAAGTATAATGTAAATTTAATGTAATTTTTTTTAAACCTTTGTAGTATAGACGCTTCGCCACTTCAAAAAGCATGCCGATTTAGAAACAACCTTGCGTTCTACAAATTCCTCGATGTTCGGCGATCATAAAAACAGCAATTTGCGGAGGTAGAGCGTCCCTTAATGGATCTCTACCGGTCCTTCGATTTTTATGGCCGCCTTGAGTCAGAT